ACTAAAAGGTATAATAGATAATGTGAAGTAGGAAGAAAAGGGGCAAAAGGGAAGGGGAAGTGGGTGGAGTAGGGATAAGGGAAAGTAAAGAAGGGAATGGACTCAATATGAGAAGAAAATTGAAACAAAGTCTTTGTGGATAGGGAGGGTGGGGGGGTTGAAGGGAGGGTAGGGGAATGGGAAAAAAGTAAGAACCAAGAGAGATTATGTAAAGGTGCAAATTTCCAATGATGAATGTCATTATATTGTGTCCCTTAAATGTACCAATAAAATTAATTTTAAAAATAAAAAAAATTTTTTTAAGAAATTTGTGGTACTTACCAGATTTCCTTCCCTTGACATAGCACAGTGTACTCAGGAAGTAATTCCCATCTCCCAGCTTCTTCCTGGGTTGGAAAAGAGAACAGGAACAAAGGTTTTAAGAGTTACGCAAAGAGCTAGTTCCTGTCTACCTGAATACAAGCACTGACAGAAAATGAAGCCAAGTTGAAATCCACTAAAAACACCAATTCAAGTATCTTCTGGTGATGATATGAATTAACATACACTCATTTGCCATTTCCCCCCACCTTCAACCTAGCTCAAGTGGAAGAAAATCTATCCACAGCTTCTGATTGCTCCTTTGGGAAGGAACAAGTTGGTGCCTGTGTCCAACATTCTCAGCTTTTCATGAGGCTGACCAAGAGACTGGTTTCTGTCTCATCCCATTTGGAGCACTGAAGGGACCCAGCAAATTTTAGGCACTGGAGAACCATTAAGGACAACAACAACAACACAAAACTTTGTGGCTTGCTGAGGACCCATAGTACAGCATCTGGAGCACAATAAAATTTAAGTTCTCTCTAGAAAGAGTTATAGCAATCATATGTCCAATGTCTCAGATTCTCCAGAGGTTTCCTGAGGGACTGATTTCTGTCTAATCCTTCTGGAGTGCTGTTGAGACTGAGACCCTTCATACCATAGTTGCCAGGATACCACTGAGAACCACAAAGAGCTGGATGATAAATGGTAGCTCCAGCTGCCCTATAATGCTGCAGACAGGAATAAGTCTGCTACAGACAGGCAGGTCTGCGCATGCCCTACCGATGTCCCAAGTCGCACAGAACATGCCAAATCAGCCCGTGACCCAGCAACAATCCACTGGACACCCCCCACCTGCTCCTCTGTACAGCCACCTGATTCCATACTACAAAGACGAAGAGGACACAGACCACCAGACCACACTACTGAGTCCTGCTGCTCCTGGCCCAGAGGTAGGGGCTTCAGAGCCGTCGTCCCACTGCTCCTGGTCCAGAGGAAGGGGCATCCCAGTCACCATCACTCCCACTGTTCCCAGCTGAGAGGAAAGGGCTTTTGAGCCACCTTCTGTCCAGCCACTCCTGGCCCAGAGGAAGGGGCTTCTGGGCAACCACCCCTCCCACCTCTCCTGGAGCAGAGGTAGGGGTTTTTGAGCTGCCATCCCACTGCTCCTGGACCAGAGGAAGGGGCATCCCAGCCGCCATCCCTCCTGCTGCTCCCAGCCCAAAGGAAAGGGCTTTTGGGCCACCTTCCCTACCGGTGCTCCTGGCCCCCATCCCACCTCTCCCAGCTCAGAGGAGGTAATCCATGAAGGCACCAACAGCCGCCCCCAGTCGAAATGAGAAAACATGTAAACAAATCGCAAAACCAGACTTCCAGATCACCTACAGCAACCCCAAAGGGAAATGAGATGGAACACTATGATACTCAACCACCTGGA